GGGGCGGGGCCGGCTGGAGGGCGAGGGGGCGGGGCGGACGGAGGCTCAATACCGCGAGGCCTCGGCGTCCGGCCTTCTTTGGCCAGAGATCCCGCGAGAAAGGGGCGCGGGTGCCTCAAATCCCCGGAGCCGTCGCTGGGCGGTGGGGCCCTGGCGTGTGGGCGGGTGGTGTGGCTGTAGGTAGAGCCTTCTGGTTTCCAGTCGAGCCCCTGGCCGCTCCTGAGTCCGTGTGGTTAGGTGAAGCCCCAACGGAGCCGGAGACCCAGGCGCGTGGGGGTTCGCGGACGCCTCCAAGGGGCGCGTGCGGCACCCTGTCTTTCCTCTGGGGGGACGCCTTGCCCGCTCCGAGGCCACAGGCGGCGGCGGAGGAGTGGAAGCCGAGGCCGGGAGCCAGTCCACTGCGGTGCCGAGCTGCCCACCCGCGTGCGTTTTGCGCACGAGCAGGTGTCTGCACACCGAGCGTTGCGTCGCACCCCTGTGGCTTCTGCTAAGCGTTTTGTCTTTGGGCTAAAAGGCGTGGAGGAGGGGGAAGGAATCAACGGAGAATGGGCTTATCCACCCAGTCAGGATGTCCACACCAATTATCATGCTGTGTGATTTGAATACATTCCCACCAATCGCTTTTTTACACAAAGCATTGTGTGGAGAACTCTGAAGCGCACAATAGGTTGGAAACCGTGTTTATTACCCGCTGAAGAGAAGACTTCAGATTCTCATCCTTCTCATCTGTGCTGTGTGTCGGACTTCAAAAAGTTCGTGGAAAAAATGGAATTCTAAGATACTGGAATTTTTCCAGGAAGTGTTTGAAGCGCCTTTGTATTTGATGGTCTGGTGTTTTCGGTTTTGTTTTTTTTTTTTAGTTTGGGGCCATTTTCGAGCTCATTTTCCTTTTAATCCATGTTGATAGCTTACAACGTGCTGCAACTATTCCAGATTGAGGTGTAAAATGTGAAAATAGAATCCCTACCTGCCTCACAGTGGCAGCACTAGGACTGGTGTCACCCAGTGCGGATGAAATCATTGATTGCAAACTTCATTATAGATGGGTCATCATAGCAGCCCTGACCAGTGCATTTTGTCACCATTGTTAGGTGACATGCAGTGGATTGGACTCATAGCAAGTGTACAACAGGATGAAACCTGTCTGGTTCTAGACCATCCTTATGTCATTACTGCTACCACTGTTTTAATCCATCTCCTTGAGAGTTGTCATCTTTTTCTATGACCTCCTGGTAACCTGTCCACAGGCTCTGAGGCAATCTCGCCATCCTCATCCTCCTTTCTGCTAAGGAGCATTCTAGCTGTAGTGCTTCCAGGACAGATTTGTTCATTCTCCTGGCAGGCCCTGGTATATTCTGTAGTCTGTATCCTTTGCCAGCACCACGATTCAAATGCAACAATTCCTCTGTGGCCTCCCATATCCAACTTTCACATACCGATGAGGCCACTGACAATGCCATGGTGTGGCGTGCATTAGAGGATTCAAAAAATAAATTAGCAGAGAGTTTTAGCCTCATAGGCATGTTGAGAAATAACACAAAGCCGGGCTTACCAAATCCATATATATTCTTAGCCACAGGAATATTTTAATAAGGAAATGATTACTTTCTGCTGAAATACTGCAGACAGATTCTTCCTGATTGTCATTTTGATATCACCTCACTGACATTGTCACCTGATGCAGTCTGAATCCCCTACCCCATGCTCCCCAATGCCACTGCTACCTCAAGGATCTCAGTACTTGCTGCATTTGTTGTTGGTTACAGAATAAAAGCTACAGACCATGTGAAGGAAACTGTCAGCTATTACACTGTAGTGAGCTTCATGAAGATAGGGAGTCTGTCTGTCTACTCCATTTCTTTCACCGCACTCATAAGTGTCTTGCATAAGCGAGGTGCTTTATAAGTGCATATATAAAATGACTAGATGATGGGTTTCTTTTTTTCTTTAATACAATATTCTACAGATATGCTACAAATTTTTGTGTTGTTTTAAATAAAAATAACCCATACTATATGCTGAATTCATGTTTTGTGGTTTATTGATTCCTACATTTTCCCCACAAAGCCAAGCCTCCTTTGTATTTATAGTATTTCTCTCTTGCTCAGAATGACTCTATATTTCTGTCTACTAAGTCCATCCTGTAATTATCTGCCCATTTCTGCAACTTGTCAAGGTTATTAATAACCATGGCTCTTTAAACTCTCTCCAAGATTTCCAGTTCTCAAGTTGTGGAGCACAAAATTTGACTGATATTGCGTAATAGTTAAGAGAAGTCCCAAGTTAGTGTCTGAATGATCTCATGGTTTGGAGTTCTCTGAACTTTATGAGCTGATCAGAGGAATAAATATAAACCTTCTATTCTCTGAATCGAGAGTTGCTACTAGCTTTCTGCAGTGGTAGAGTGAATGTAATTTAGAGCCACATTAACTTTACTCAGGGACACTAATAGCACAGTGGGTAAAGCATTTGGCTGCCGTTTGTCAACAGTTCAAACCCACTACCTAGCTTCTCCAGGGGAAAGAGGAGGCAGCCTGCTCCCAGAAAGATTTAGTCTCAGAAACCCTAAGGAGCACTTGCACTATTCTTTCCATTGGGTTGCTATGAGAAAGAACAGCAGCGTGTCAGTTCATTCAGGAATCTGTCAGATACACCCTAGATCAGGGCCCACTGTCATCTCTGCATCATTTCAATATTTCTTGAATTGTGAAGCTAGAGAAAGTTGAATAACTGGAATAACAAGTAATAAGATTAAAACAAAAATAAATTCCTTATCTTGCCACCCAGGTTTTCCAGTAGGAGAATATAAAATAATATTCTATAATACAGCTAGAATGCTCCTTAAAGGCAAAGATGGCACGACTTTGTCTCGTGTTATTTGGATATGTTGTTGGGAGAAACAAGTCCCTGGAGAAAGATATCATGCTTGGTAACAGAGGAGCAACAGAAAAAGAAAAAGGCTCTTGACAAGATGGATTGACCCAATGGATACATCAGTGAACTTAAAAAGTCAATGTGAGGATGGTGCAGCGTCAGGCGGCGTTATCCTTTATTGCACATAGTGTGGGACTGATTCCAAAGCACCTTCAACAACAATAGTATTAAAGGCAGAGGAAGAGGAGTGTGTTACTCTGAGTTGACTAGAGAAACAAATCCAGAGGCACTCAAATATGTATAAGAAAGAACTTTATCAAAGAATAATTTTATATTAAGAAAACATCCCAGCCCAATACAGATCAAATCGCTAAGTCAGATATTAGCCCATATGTCTGATACCAGTCTATAAATTCTTCTTCAGACTTACACAGCCATGCAATAATGCCAAATGTAGGAAGATCACAGACCAGGGAGTTGAAAGTATTGTGGATCCAGTGGCGGTGGAAGCAGCTCCAGTGGCTCCTCCAGCTCCAGCTCCAGGACTCTGGCTACCATCAGCTTACCTCCACGTGGCTTGTCAGCAGGAATTTCTCCCAGGTAGAGAGTGTGTCCTACCTCCAGCGAGCTATTTATCTCCATAGCACCTCCAAATGAGGTCAAGCTGTGACCTGATTGAAAGGCTAAATTCCATCTCTTCACTCTTAATAGTCTCAAATTGGCACCAGATTATGTAACTACCACAGACCACCCCTTGTCAACTTGATGCTTTTACACAATTCTTACATAGTCTTACACAAGTTTTTAAATGAAACAATAATAAAGTCATATCTGTACCTAAGAGGATAAAACTAAAATGCATACATTAAAAAATGTGCCCCCTAGGCAAGTCTCTTTACCTTTGAATGTCCTGAGCATTCAAGACACTGGGTGGGGCTTATCTTTTCAGAGCCTCCTTTGCAGGCATTTCCTAACCTCATTTAACAATCCAATTTTAATGGCTAAAGACAAGTGGGCTTACAAGCTCTCTATTTTCATACTTCGCAATAATCAATTCTATCAATCATTATATAATAAAAATAGTTAGAAGAAAACAGTATAAACCTAGTACAGCCAGATCCTAAACTCAATTCTTAAAACAATCAAGTTCAATCCTTATTTATCTTATCTTAATCCTCATCTAAACTGTTCTATTGATACAAAATATGGGATTAGGCCTCTGACTGCATCGACCCTGGGCCAGGCTTTCTGTCAGTCATTTTCACTAAGCTGCATGGTCTCTGAGAAATTGAAGGACAATTTCTATCCCCAAGCTCAAAATGTATATTAACAACATTCATTTTTGCCATTTCAAACAGGAATAACTAAAGACAACAATCAAAGAAAAGAATCAAAACTTTAACTTCCCATATTCTTGCCAGAAAACAACACAGTAAACTGCATGGCCACACATGACATCCCGTTAGCCAAAGAAGAAAAACTACCATGAGGCAGAGGTCAAACAAGCATCCTCTCTCCATCTACATGATTTGTCTCTCTAGTGCCCCACTCCCAAGGTACCATAATGTGTTAGGAGCTAGATTAGAGAAGCAAATCCAGGGAGACTCATATGTATATAATGAAGAGTT